GATGAATAGAGAAAATCATTGGCAGAGCAATTGGTAATGAAAATCATTTATTGTTGCAGCCTCAGACTTTTGGCAGACCAGGACATCTGCAACACTAATCTTTGTTAGCTCGATGTATTTAACCACCGTGGCTCCCAGACCTAGTGCTATTAAAATAAACAAACATACCACTACGATGGAAAATGACTGGCTTTAGGATAGTAGCTCATAATAATAGGGATCAGGAATCAACAAAGGCTGTTCTAAAATATTCATATTTCTTTAAACCGGTAAAGCGCTTAGTTTTTACTCACATTGTTCTCGTTGCCTAATATAACATTGAAAATGTGGAGTAACTAATAAAATAGACCTGTTGCCATTTGTGTTATGCCTGTTCTTAAGACATCAATGGTCTGAACTAGTGACGCAGTCGAACAGAGGACGACAAGTGAAATCAGACGTTTAACTGTGATCAAACTCAGACACAGACTGTCCTCGTCCCTCTCCCTCAGTCTGAGAAATGTAAAAACTGCAGCTCCGTTCTTCTCCCTCCTCTCCCGCCTTGTGTCTTCCACCCATTTCCCCTCCCTTTTTTCTGGATCGTGATGGCACAAATGAAATTAACAGCGATCGCAGAGCTGCTTATTCATCAGCTTCCAGATAATTTGAATAACAAAACCCTGTTAGAGCGCGTATAAAGTATAAAAGCCGCCTGGCAGCCACAGGTTGTTGGACAGATTCCCACAAACACAGATCATCAAACATGGGCAAGGTATGTAGAGAACAGACCAGAAAACAAGCACCTCGAAACTCGACTGACATACAATGTAAACAAGTGGGAAAAAAATAAAATAGAAGAGGAAGAAACAATCTAAGCTTAAAAAAGCATTTTAAAATCATCTTCTGCAAATTAGTTTGTATAATTTTTTGTTTTCCTTTTCTACAGATCATCTTCTACGAGGACAGGAACTTCCAGGGTCGCTCCTATGAGTGCATGAGCGACTGCTCCGACATGTCCTCCTACCTGAGCAGGTGCACTTCCTGCAGGGTGGAGAGCGGCTGATTCATGGTCTACGACCGCCCCAACTACATGGGCAACCAGTACTTCCTGAGGAGGGGCGAGTACTCTGACTACAACTCATTTGGCATGGGTGACTCCATCCGTTCCTGCCGTTTAATTCCTCAGGTAAACAAAGATTTTTGAGATTATCACAACTGAGAAACCACATTTGGGTATTTTTAAATTAAAGATAGTAAAAACTGTTTGACTGCTGTGCTGTCAAAATGTGGGTTTGAATTGAATGGGTAATTATCTAATGAGAAAAAAATCAAAAAATAACATGGCAAAATGCAACTGTAGCTCTGTTTTTGACAAACTGCTGTAATAAACAACATGTTTAGTGCCACGCTCATCTCTCTGTGCTTTCATCAACAGCACAGAGGCTCCTACAGGATGAGGATCCACGAGAGGGAGAACTTCCAGGGCCAGAGTCATGAGCTGATGGACGACTGCGACAACATCCAGGACCGCTACCGCATGCCCGACTGCCAGTCCTGCAACGTGATGGACGGCCACTGGCTGATGTACGAGCAGCCCCACTACAGAGGCCGGATGGTGTACCTGAGTCCTGGAGAGTACAGGAGCATGAGAGATGTGGGATACAGCGGCATGAGGCTCAGCTCCGCCAGGCGTATAATGGATTCCTGTTGAAGCAGAGTGTGAAAAATGTGCTGCAGAATAAAATGAAACACAAATCAAACGCCACCTTGTCATCATGTCGTCTTATATCATTTTTTTTTTTTAATAACATTTTTTGGTGAATGTGAGGGTTAAAGCTGCAGTGTTGGTCTTTAAAGAGATCTAGTACATCACATTCATCCAGTGCTGTGCGGCAGTATTACAACTTCTATGCCAGTGAGCTACAGATATATAAAAACTAGAAGGTATTTGTACTGAATTATGAGCAGAACCCTTTAGTTCTCTGTACAGGCTGTCGTTGTTTCTCTTGATGAAAATATTCTTACTCTGCAATGATCATACATACAGTACATTTATCAGCCAACCATACACTTTATAAGAGGTCAAATCATATTAAAATCACGCTGTAGTCTGTTTTATCCAAAGCAGCTAGATGTAAATACAGCATTAAACTCTGTTGCATATTTAAAACATACATTTACAAATAGAGACGACTTTCCCGACAGTCTGTCAGGAATGTAATGGACACAGACGTTTTATTTACACACATTAAAACAATCTAAAAATACATATGGAAAGAACTGGATTTTTAACAGTGGCGAGTCCACGGCCGTCCAACAATGTCCGACACCACAAAGGTACATATTATGGTAAAAGGCAGTTAAAAGTGCAAGTGCATTTATCAGTCTATGAATAAGGTGAACCATCTGTTTCTTGTACTGTGGCTCTTCACAAGTCTGTTGGCTTCTAGAATAAATGTGTTTCACGTGAAACTGATCAGTTGTGATGGCAGCAGCTTAAAGTCTTCACAGAGGACGTCATGTTTGGGGGGTTGATGATAAACCTATCTGCCTTTATGAGGATTTATGAGGATTTCCTCAGTATTAAACTGTGCTTTTGTGTGTTGACAGTAATTTCAGAGTTGGGGTAAACAACTCTTTTCAAACAGTTCTTGTCATTTTGACAAAGGGGAGTAAACCAATAAATAACTGAAAAAGTTTAAATACTTTGAATAAAAGGAATTAAACTTGGTCATTGTTCTTTGATTGACTCTAGAGGAGTTTAGTTCAATCACATTTATGTTTCCACCGAATCTCAATTTGTCATTTGGATGATGATGATGAACTGTGAGGAGACTGCCAAATAATCTGTTTTGGTGACATTATCATTTTTTAATGTAATCTACTGGATTCAACTGTGCACGCATCATCCTTAGATTTAAAGCTTTTCCTGGACAAAACCAACCCACCAGTTTTACCAACATAACGATCAGTTTACTCATCAGGCGAAGGTGCAACTCGGCCTCGTATAAAGTTTCCTGTGGCCTGGAGTTTAGTGAAGTGTGAGAAAATAACTGTTAATGATGCCATCAGGACATTATCAGTTATGGATCAGTAAACAAGTCTGACACACATAAGGGGCTAAATATCAGGATACCGCTTCCTATGATACTTTGATTTTGAGCGTTTCAATAAATAAATGAACTGCTGGTTTTGCCTTTGCTTTGTCAACTTAATAGACTTGGTTGTTACTACTCGTGTTTGCTGTACATAGTATGTAGAACCTTTTATTTTTATTTTCCCTCATCATGCTTCATTTTGTGCACAATAGTTGTTCATAATAAATATAATATTCTACTTTTAAGCATTTCTGATGGACACCCATAACATTTCAGAAAGAGACAAAAAAGCTCAAAGTCATTCAGTTTCTGAACTTTAAATCACCACAGCGAACGTCACACATGCAGATGACATCAATGTACAGCAGTAAAGATTTAAACATTTTTGAATTTAAACATACAAACAGTAATACATGCTGCATTAGTTATCATATTGTCAATAAAATGTGATAATATGTGTTAAGACTCTTAAATCCTCATTGTACTGGTGTATCATTTGAAATAAACACTAATAGAACAACACTGATGGAGGAAGTATTCAAATCCTTTAAGGGAGCCATTTTGTAAGTTTTGCTATCGCTACATAGCTAATGTTAGCATTAACAGCTGTTCACTTACTAGTCTAGAAGAAACGTTGTGAGTTCAGCATCAAACTTAATTCCTTTACTCAACAAGAGCTGTCTCCAGTGGTGGAAACAAACCCTGGTTTTGTTTCTATTTCCATAATTTCTTCTGTTCTACTGATGTTAGCATGCTTACCAGCCAAACCCAGCCCGACTGAACCGCCTCGTCACTTTCCGATACCGAGTCACTGTAGTGTTCAGTCTGCGCTGAAGACGTAGCGCTGCTCAGGCGACGTATTACAACCTCTTGTCTTGTAAACGCAGCTATGGCTGAAGCTCTTGGTGAGACTGAACAGCTGTTAATGCTAACGTTGGCTATGTAGCGATAGCCAAACTTACAAATAACCCTTTTAAGTAAGAGTGACAATATCACAATGTAAAACTGCAAATGGAAGTCCTGTTATTAAAAGTAAAAAGTAAGTGAAAGTAAGATTAACAAAATGAACATTAAGTGTCAAAAGTAAAAGTAATTAAGCTTTATCTCCTTGGCCCTAGAGGTAAAATGTGCGGCACATAAAATACAACAGTGCAGAAAAATGAGTGAGTGTTACACCATTATATATTATATTATTGGATCATTATTACAGCTGCACTAATGTGTATGTAGCATTTCACTGTCGTATCTGGTCGTAGCAGAGCCAATTTTAATTATTTCATACATAATTAAGTTGTTTAATCAATAAAAACTGTTTATAAGCTAAATATGTTTTGTATGTGAAATCCTAATTTGTGAGGTAACTGTAATAACTGTAGATGGTAATTAAAATGAAATGTAGTGTAGTGGAAAATGGAAATACTCCACTCCAAAAACAATTACTAAAATTTATACGTAAGTACTCTAACTTGTACTTTGTTACATGAATTGTTCAATACAAAAGCCATCAGCGTAATAAAAGCACATATTTTGTCATTGTTGTCAGTGAACAGTGGAGTTCTCTTCAGTGACATGAAGTGAATAGTAAGACAAAGACGTGAGCTGATGAGTAACCTGTGAATGTAACAAAGACCCAGCACTGACAGCACAAAGAGTCCCAGCTCATACGCTAGCTGCTGTCACCCACCTGTCCCCCATAGGAGAGCTGCTGCCGTTGGCACTGCCCCAGATGCATGCAGTCTGGAATAATAACCATTTACAGACCGATTTAACAAACATTATAGCCCTGTATGCTACGCTGCTGAGTAAGATGTTCAAAACAATGGCTCCATAGATCATTTAGCTATCATGATGGGTATAAAAGTGACGGACAGTTAGGCTGGGAGAAGTACCAGTGCAATCAGGGGAAGCACATTGAACACCAAAATGGGCAGAGTAAGAGAGCATTTCTTTTATGTTGTAATTTAAGCTGATAAATATATATAACATTTCAGAGCAGGTGTTATTTGTGAGGTGGTTTTAAACACGTACTTGTTTGTTTTTTCAGATCATCTTTTACGAGGACAGGAACTTCCAGGGTCGTTCCTATGAGACCAGCAGCGACTGCGCTGAGCTGACCTCCTACCTGAGCCGCTGTAACTCCTGCAGGGTGGAGAGCGGCTGCTTCATGGTCTACGAGCGTCCCAACTACATGGGCCACCAGATGCTGGTGAGGAGGGGAGAGTACCCTGACAACCAGCGCCTGATGGGAATGAGCATGAGTGACTGCATCCGTTCCTGCCGCATGATCCCCATGGTATGAAGCTTCGATTTGAGTCATGATGAGCTCTCATGTACATGTTAAAGACACAAAGAAAAGTAATTTTTTGTTCCCTTACTTGTCATTTTACAGCACAGAGGTCCCTTCAGGATGAAGATCTACGAGAGGGAGAACTTCGGTGGTCAGATGAATGAGCTGAACGAGGACTGCGACTCCATCCAGGAGCGCTACCGCATGCCCGACTGCCAGTCCGCTCACGTGATGGACGGCCACTGGCTGATGTACGAGCAGCCCCACTACAGAGGCAGGATGATGTACCTGAGGCCCGGAGAGTACAGGAGCATGAGAGACATGGGCATGGGTCCCATGGACATGAGGATCGGATCCATCAGACGCATCATGGATTCCTGTTAGACAGACCTGAAAATGTAATCTATAAATATGAATAAATGTTTCATATCTACAAAGAATTTGTCAATTTATCATTCATGTTGAGATTCAAAACCGCAAACACTGATCCAAGACTCCCTTTTGGGCTGTATTTCAAAATAAAAGAGAAAATATAATGAATTATCAGCATCCAACTGTTCCTGTATTTCAAAGGACAGTTTGGTAATGAATACTTCTTTTTTTAATCACCATACCCCAAGGATAAGACTTCTTCTTCTTCTACCTATGAAATGTGACACATGACATTAAAGATGAAGTTCAAAGGATGAAACAGTTACCTCTGACACTGCATGGTTTTCCAGACATTTCCTGACATTACTGCAGCAGATACACAAAAACCATAAAGTTTATTTGAGTGTTCGAAACACACAGCGAATAAAATATTTCACTCGCATGCCACTATTAAAATTAAAGTGTTGAAATTCCAGTAACAGTTGAAGTGCAAGGTTATTTTCACAGCACATGTAAGGACATGTCGCTGCAGGAGAACTGCAGGTGGGACTCGTTATGTTAACGAGGATGCTAACGACGGCTCTGATGTTGTGCAGCTTGGCTCACTGAGACGAGGCAGTAAATAAAGACAGAAAAGGAGTGAGTTTTGTCAGATCAGGTTAACTCAGACTGCTGAAGCCTGAAATCAACTTCAGCTAAACTTTGAATTGTATTAACGAGGACTGTGGATTTTGGCCAGTAAGAGCAGGACAAATGCGTCGAGCAGACAGACGCACGAACAGGCAGGTGAATGTTGTTTTAAGACGAACTTAGAAAGTAGATTCAAAGTTTAGGAATATTTGCATTCTGTCATGTTTCTTGAACTAATGAGGCCAAACTTCAAAAAAGGTCCCTTTGATAATTAGTAGTCCTTGCAATTAAAGATTCAAATAATAATAATAATTTATGTTTGGATATAGCTGGTGGTAGGAGAGACCGTGGTCCCTGGTTTACTAATCTAACATACCTTAGACTACTTGTCACCACAAAAGGAGAAACCTTGTGATAATCAATAAGGAGTGAATGTAATAATTCTCCCTTTTTTGCCCAAGTCTGTGCATTTCTTATTATTGGGTCATATATAAAGAGAAAGCTGATTATAGTTCTGTCACGATTGTGCTCAGGAAGTAAATAAGACTGTTTAAGAGGTGCTGAGTCTTTGGAATGAAACGGAAAATAATAATAAAAAGAATACAGAACAAATGAACGTGTGTGTGGTCATGACTCATTAAAGGCAAACTAACTAAAACTGACAAATATGTTAAAAATACAACAGTGATTCATTCAGATGTAGAAATGTTCTGTGCGATCTCTGCAGACTCCTAATGACGCCTTAAAGGAGACATTTAAAAAAAATAAAAATCAGAATAAATAGATCATTAGTCAAGTTAAGAAGCAATAATGTCAACCCCAGTGCTCATTTCAGACACATATCATCATCTTTGTCCCACTGCCGAGCAAATCCCACCGTACCTTAACACACAACTTTACCCAACTCTGGTGCATACACCCGTTCAGTTCGATTTCTTGGGCAGATTAGGGTAACGTCAGGTATCATGTCGCGCCAGGTGACCACGGACGGAGGGATGGGTACATGTACATATCCCACAACAACCCAGGGCACGTTAAGTTTTACGTTTTAAGAGTAAAAGAAACTGAGTCACACAAGTTTCCATCTGGACTGATGCTCGTATTCATCCACTTCTTTATGTTCACGTACTGAAAAAAGAACCACCAATGGGACCAGTTAATGGCGAATGTCTCTAATCATGTAATTTGCCTTTAAATGAGCCGAGTAAAGCTTAACGAACTTCAAATACTGTGAAGATTTAGTAGAGTGAGGCTGTGTTTCTATAGCTGGTTCCAAACAGGTAAAAAAAAACCTGGATTTTATTGAGCTCAGTTCAATAAATCTTATCAAACCTTTATTTCTTTATTACTTTTTAAGACCAATGTATCAATGTTTAGATAAATAGTTAATATAAAACATGAAAAAATGACACAACTTGAATTTTAGTTATCTGACAATACACTGTGTCATATGCTGCTCAGATTGTGAAGCCCCTTGTAAAGAAAATCTGTGATTTGTCATATTGGCTGTATAAATAAAATTGACTTGATTATGTTTATAAAATGGTCTTACACTTACATTAATTGAGCTAATAACTCACAGTGACCTGTGTAAATTACAACTTTAGTGTGTTTATCATACATCGAGCCACAGATGTACCGCAGAACAGAAGTGCAGTAAACTCAAATATGTGCAAGACAAATTGAATGTATGAATCAATCCAGCCTTCTTGGAATTTCTTCATTTGTACCTAATGAGTTTGTTGAAGTTACAACATTTCAACTACATAAAAAAAAACATTCATTCTGCTTTAGTTATCTGATATTATCAAATAAATGGGTTACTGAATCATATTTCTAATAAAATATCTTTATCATTTAGTCAGTGAATGATCCCATACACTCTGCAGGACAGAGATGGCTGCAATATTACAGTTGGAAACTTCTCTTTATTTTCTTTATGTTGGACAACAATACTCCATGTAGACTACATGCATTTCCACCAGAGTGGTATAGTGTTGCATAATAACCCTTTAGTGCCCTGACTGCTCAGTAGGCTACTGTGGCATGTTGCTGAGTCAGGGGTTTGCACAATAGAAGCCCTACATACGTTTTTCACATTGAGCAAGTATAAAAGTAACGGCTACAGCCGACAGAGCTACACAGCAGCCACAGCTCAGTCCTGAGGAACAACCAAAAGATCATCACCATGGGCAAGGTAGGTACTGGGAATGATCCACCTAAAAAATAATTAACCAAAAGAACATTTTTAGTTTTAATTTATAAAGTTCTTTAATAAATTATCAGTAAAAAGCTTCTGAGCGTGGCACTGATGAAGCGTTGTTGTGCTTTCAGATCATCTTCTACGAGGACAGGAACTTCCAGGGTCGTCACTATGAGACCAGCAGCGACTGCCCTGAGCTGACCTCCTACCTGAGCAGGTGCCACTCCTGCAGGGTGGAGAGCGGCTGCTTCATGGTCTACGACCGCCCCAACTACATGGGAAACCAGTACTTCATGAGGAGGGGCGATTACGCCGACTACATGAGCATGATGGGAATGTCCGACTGCATCAGGTCTTGCCGTATGATCCCCATGGTAAGGATTTTCATATTCCGGACGTCATTTTATATTTATTTATATCTGAACGGTTGTCTGATCAAAAGTTTGAAATGTTTTCTTAAAACAGCACAGAGGCCAGTTCAGGATGAAGATCTACGAGAGGGAGAACTTCGGTGGTCAGAGTCACGAGCTGAATGACGACTGCGACAACATCCAGGACCGCTACCGCATGTCCGACTGCATGTCCTGCCACGTGATGGACGGCGACTGGCTGATGTAAGAGCAGCCCCACTTCGGAGGCAGGATGATGTACGTGAGGCCCGGAGAGTACAGGAACTTCAGGGACATGGGCACAAGCGGCAGCAGGTTCATGAGCATGAGGCGCATCGTGGATTCCTGCTACTAAATTCTGCATACGGCATAATAATACAAAATAAAGATTATATTTTGTAAAATTTGTTTTGAAGAGTCTTATGTTGTGTTCACAGTGGTATCTAATAATGTATGTAGTATTTTACAACAGAGTTCAAATTCCCACACAGATTATTTGGACTGTGATAGACTGGTGACCTGTCCAGGTTACACCCTGCCCCCACCCAAGGTCAGCTGGGTTTGGCTCATGCCCCCCGTGACCCTCATAGGACAAGCGTTATAGCTAATGGATTAGGTTAGCTTCTGCTGCACACAGTTCACCCTATAGTATACATCTTTTTCCACATAATGTAAGGACAAGTGCCTAATCAGTTCTTGTAAATAAATTAGTAACTATGAAATTAAGATTTTTTTTAATTGTATTTGTTTGGTTTGAGTCAAATTAACAGAATCACATCTATGTAGTTTCTACCTTCACATTTAACTGCTTCAAATTTGTTCCCCTTTACTCTTAGAATATGGCTCCTAGAGATTTTTTTTGTTTGTTTTTGCTTTATATAATTTAACTAGTAGTTTGAATACATTTTAAAGAAGCTGGGTGATCTACAAGGTGCATTATGTATTGTCAGTTTATGACCAGAGGTATGTCCGTTTGGGCTGAGGGGGGAACCCTGGTATGGGGCATGAAAGACAGGAGTCTGCAGGGCAACGAGGGCCTCATGTCAAGATGCTATTGAGCTGCACTGTAGGAAGAGCAGGACACACTGTTTTTGGAGGTTTACTTTAACACACACTTGCGTTACTGCTACTGTGCACATCAATTCACATGAATTCCACAAACTTGAATTATAATCCATTTTTGATGAGAATCAATTATAGTAAATGCTTTAACCTCAGACATTTAACACAGTGAGACTCTAAAGAGGGAAAATAATAATAATCAGGCTGAGTCTAAAGCCGTTGCTTACTGTGAGCAGTTCATCTGTAGCTGCTAACCATAAAGCAAGTGTGTCCAGAACATTGACACTTAGTTTAAGAAGTTTAAGTCCTCGTGGTTCGGGGGTGTTAGTTAATACTGACTCTAGCCGAACTCACTGTCTTTGAGCTAATGTTCAGTTTCATTGTTCTGGGCAGCTAGTATCGCTACGTAGCCAATGTTAGCATTAGCAGCTGTTTACCGACCAGTTTAGAAGAAACGTTACGAGTTCAGCATCAAACTTTATTTATCAAGAGCTGTCTCCAGCGGAGAACAGCAACCCTTTTGTTTTCCTTCTATATCTATCACTTCTTTTCTTCTACTGAAGTTAGCATGCTAACCAGCTAGCCCCTGCCCCGTTGAAACGCCCCGTCACTATCCGATACAAGGTCGCTGTAGCGTCCAGTCTACACTACACGTGAGTTGATTTGTTTGTTCGCATCCTGCTAATGAGGCAGCTTCGAAACAAACACGAAAAACCAATCATGAAATT